AATACTATAGAATCAGCCGTGGAAATGACCGGGAAAGATTGACAGTAGAGTTTCGGCCTCAATTAAACCAATTTCGGGCAGACTATGATTGAAATCTGACGATCAATAGATTCTCACATGTAAGCAACATAGTGGGTTTGGCAACGACGGACGCAACCGCATCCAAGACTTCTCGTCAGGAAAGGATTACGTTCACACCATTGAACAAGTGCACACTGAAACTTGCCAGTCTTCGTCGACCTTTGTTGAATTCGTCCCTTTCGAACTTACGCATTCCCGTGTAGAGAAGTGGAATACTTTTCGCAATACAGAAGCGTTGTCATTCTTCTTTCTAATCCAGCAACTATTGACCGGTTCACGTCACAGAAACCATTATTTTAGTTCCTGATCCCAGAGAAGAGTGAAGGCAAGCAAGCAACTACAAACAGATACGTTTTGTTGTGTCCGTACACACACGCACACACACACCGACATACGGAGATGCTCACGGGAGCGATTCAAGCGTGAATAACAGTAAGTGTAGAGACCACAAGGACAATGATAGTAATAATAATTAGAGTAGTAATGGCAGGGGAGGTGGTGTTGGCAGTTTTAGTAGGGAAGTGATAAGTGATCGTAATAGTAGCAATAACAGCAGTAGTAGTCGCAGTTAGTGATAGTGGGATCAGCGACGAATTGGATACCGCCATTACCAAGGACAGGGATTGTGTGGCACGCAACAGATCCCCCGGGGGAAAGGGTCGTGGGACGGGTAAAAGTCGACTAAAAGTGATTAGAAGGACGGGCGGGAGCGACTATGTACACAGACAGGAAAAGTTCGCTTGGATAAAGACGGGTTAGAGAGAAAGACAGAAGGAAAGAGAAACGAAACACGCGGATACAAAAAAACGTGCGGTCGAGAAGATGCGAAGAAATCGACGCCGAAGAGGAACACGAACCGGATCACATAGAGAGAGCGAGAGAGAGACTGTGTTCCAACCACACGAGCTAAACCACCACAATAGAAGCGCATGCGGTTCGAGGCTAAGCCGAAAGAACAAACATTTTCTCATCCCTCTTGCCCTTCACCCCTGCGGTTTCCACGGGGTAACGCGGTCTGATAACAGACGGCGAGAGAGGGTACAATGATAGAGATGTAATTCCGTGTGTGCTGCACTAGGGTGTGTGTGTGTGTGGATTAAAATCAACGGAAACAGGTACTCACGGATAGACTGAGAAGAAAGGCAAACGACAGGAGTGGGCTAAGGCAATCAGGCTAGTGTCTACCTGGGTTAGTTATTTTCACGAACTACACGCTTGATAGCACGATATGCACACAGTAAAATACACGCAAATTCGCTAACACACACATGTAAGAACGCACGAGTTAAGCTCACAAAAAGGTCAAAAACAGCTGTCACACAGTCTTCACAAAAATGCAAACGCGCGCGCGTGCACACACACGGAGGGAGGGGCCTAAGATGAGACAGAATGTAATTTTTTCGGCGAAAAAAAGAACCATAAACCGTGGTAAGGGAGGAGTCATGAGGATGAGAAGCGAAACTGAAGGTAAAACGAATAACTATGTACAGAGAACCCAGAAAGGGAGATGGCGGAGGACATGCGGGTGTATGAGCGAGGTGCTACTCACTCGCAACACAGAGACGAGAGCGCGGGACGGGGGACCAATAAGAGGCCGAGGAGGCGATTCGAATAAAGCCAGATTGCTGTGATACCACTTGAATTTCGGTCTCGTGATATCACACACTCAGCTGTAGTTGACTCGAGGCAAAAGTTAAACACATGATAGCCGAAAAGACGAGCCAGTCTTATTTGCGGAATGCACCGGCCACTGCCGAAGCGGATGGAGCAAGCATGGGAGCGGCAAAATTCTCGGCTCCACCAGCAGCACCGGCTGGGATGTACAGTGCACCCGAGGGTTGAGCGTGCGTGTGGTATGCATGCGGGTGATGCATGGCGGTCATGGCTTGTTGCTGCTGTTGTTGTGTTTGCGGCTGTTGCGGTTGTATGGCATAAGGACCGGGGGCGGCTACCATGTACGGTTGGCCTGTGGGAC